CTTATAATGAAGAATTAAAAACACAAGGAAAAAACAGCTCAGCAAAATGAAACGACATATCTAAAAGCCTGCCCTCATAAAGAAAGAGAGGTTCTGACATTTTCTGGTCCTTTCCTTGCGACCAGGATTGGTCTCAGATATTTTGCAGTATGTCATCTGGTTTTTTTTCTTTCCACTTACCTGGTCTTTAGTCATTGTGCATATTGTTTTCCTAGTTTGGCTTCTTTTTCTTTACATCAGTTCTGGGCCTTGCCTTACCTTATAAGGGAGGGATACTCTTTAAGAGAGTTGTTTTGCATATAACTGGCACTTTATAAGTGTTTATAGGATTGTATTAGAAAGAGATTAAGTGATAGACCTATACAGTAACTGTCAGACCTGAGATTTGAACCCAGTTCTTCTTATTTCAGTTTCTTACACATAAATAAATAGCACTTAATAAATGCTCATTGGATTTGATTGTTTTAGGCTGACAAATTAAAAAACTTGGCTAGAGGTATGACCAGGTTAATCATCACTACTTCCTCCTGACTTTCCTGGCTTGTGGAATCACTGAATCTATGAATCACTAAATTGTAAGGCCTTCTAGTCCATTTTATACCTAAACACTAATCCTTTCTATAAAATGACCTATAACCATCCTAGGCATGGGAACCTGCGGCCTCAAGGCCACATGTGACCTTCCAGGTACTCGAGTGCAGCCCTTTGAATGAATCTGAACTTCACAAAAGAAATCCCCATTATAAAAGGATTTGTTCTGTAAAACTTGGACTGGAGTGGGGGGAGGGGACACACCTTGGACTCAGTCCAAAGACCTAGAAGGCCACATGTGGCCTTGTGGCCCCAGGTTCCCCACCCCTGAATTCTCTAGTCTTTGCATGAAGATTTCAGTGAAGGACAACCCACTGGCTATAATCCTTGGGAAGTTTTCAGTAATATCCTTCATCTACCTGCTTTTTTATCTATGAAAGTGGCAGCTTGATGAGGCATTCTGAATTCGGGACTCTACCAACCCATCCACATTCTCATCCTTGGTCTCCTCATGACCCAGTGGCACATCTAACCAAAGAGTTTGCCAGGGTTAGGGCTCAGTCTGTTCATGGGTTTGAGGCATCAGGCAGTGAAATCTACTGTCGAAGGACAATAATAAAAAAAATAAGGCAAACAATTAATTTTCTTTAGGTTTGTTCCATTGATAACGCTTATTCAGTTCAACATATCGTTGTTAGGTGCCTATCATCCTACTTGATTGGAGGGATGGATGAGAGACAGTGGAGGTAGGTGGTGAGTCTGGAGTCAGGAACACTCATTTTCTTGATTACATCCAGATTCAGGCACTTGTTAGCTGTATGACCCTGAGAAAGTTACTTAACCATGTTTGCCTCAGTTTTTTCATCTGTAAAATGAGCTGGAGAGGGAAATGGCGAACATTCCAGTATCTTTGCCAAGAAAACTCCAAAGGGGATCACGAAGATTCAGATATAACTGCAAAAAAACCTGAACAACATGTGAAGGGGGGTGGGGCAGAGTGGGAGGGAGGAAGAGTAAACAGGAGAGAGTTTGTTGGGAGATTACAGAAACAAGAGATAGGATTCAGTTTCCTTGAGAAACAATGTAACTTGGGGTGGTAGATGGGAAAAGGTCCCAACATATGAAACCATTATGTCATGATTAATTCCTTACCTGTGCCCTACAAGAATAGAGACTAGGCCTACAATTTCTTGGGTATGAAAATCTCAGGTGTGTCAACTTAGTCTGAATACAAGGCAGCTACTTTTCTGCCTCTAACACTGAGAGGTTGCGTGACTTGCCCAGGGTCACACTATCTGAGTGTCAGAATCAAATAGGTGCTCCTTGCCTTGAGGCCAGCTATCTATCTGCTATACCACATGATCTCTAACCTATGCCACATAGACAACAAATGCCAAAGGCGATATATTATTAGAAGTTAGAGTGGTGTATGTGGGCTAGAAGATGTTCATAAAAGGTTTTTCACAAGGATGAAGAGCCTGAGCTAAGCCTTGAGAGATAAGTAATGATGCCCATTATACCATATGTACTGTGCAAACTTACAGAATACTCCTTACAGTAGCCCTACAAAGGTAGGTACTGTTAAATGTTCTTGTCTCCAGTTTGGATAGGATCACAAATTTACAGCTACAAGAAGTGTTAGTGATCATCCAGTGCACCCCTCCACTACAAAATCCTTTTATTAAGGGGATTTGTTCCGTAAAGTTTGGATTTAGTCAAAGGGCCACATTTGAGGTCCTAGAGGGCCACACATGGCCTTGTGACCGAAGGTTCCCCCCACTCCCCTATCTAGTGCAACGTTCCTTCCCATTTTACAGATGGGGAGACTGAAAGCCTAAATACTGTGATTTGTTTAAGACCACAAAATCACAAAACCAGGACCTTGAATCTAAGTCTTCTGATTGAGGAGTCTAGCACTCCATTCATTAAATAACAGTACAGCTTAGGTAGGTACAGAGGGGAGAGGATGATTATTCCAGGTGATGAGAATAACTTCAGGTGGAAGAGTGAAAATGAACTGCTGAGGAGTGGTCAGATCGTATAGTGAAATTGGAGACATCGGAGCAGAAGACCCAGCCCTGGTAGATGCTGGAGTATGGAGATCCCTGGAGCACAGTGTAATGAGGCATAGCTGGAGCCTGTGGCCACGGAGCAGAAGGACTGTGGTAACTCGTGATGTAGATCCCTACTATGTGGCAAGCTAGGAAAAGAAAGGGGAAACTGTCTGTGGTGTTGGTTGAAACAGGAGAACAAGTTGTATCAGGGTTAGAAGATGTCCAAAACTTTTCGGGAGATTAAAATCTGATGACAGATTTGAGATTTAGGTGTTGGAGGGGGCTTTGGCTTTAGATTGTTAATGGGGTTTTTTTTCTTCTTCTCCTGAATGTTGCTTTTCAAAATTCACCTGTCATCTCCTTCAAGACAATACAAAGTAAAGTCAGTAGATTGAGACAATGCTCATTGACAGTGGCCATACACACATGCACACACACACACACACACACACGTGCGCACACGGGTGTGTGTGTGTGTGTGTGATGTACTGTTTCCTTGATTCTTTTCACTGAAATTGTTCTTGGACGAAATACTCTGCCACCCTAACACAGCCCCCTTGAGCCTTCTATAGTGACAAAGAAAACCAGTATAGTGCAAGCAAACCATCAGCTGAACTTGGAAACTGAAAGCTCGCTCACCCCTTGCCTCTCACCCCCCATCTAGCCTTCATAGGCCTAAAGCTAGAAGAAACCTTATAGTTTGTCTAGTCGATTTACAGATGAGGAAATTGAGGCCATGATTTCTTGCCCCAGGTCACTGAGGTTTGGACCTGGATTTTCTGACTCCTACAGCCTTTTCTACTACATGGTGCTACCCCTCTAGGAAGGAAAATTTCTTCATTTATTTTAAGATTATTTGCTATAATTTTTTAACACATCTCTTCCTTTTAGCATTCTTTTGTTGATATGTAATTTATGTTTTCAGAAGCTAGCAACAATCTTTTAAGCATATAGAAAAGATAACAGCAAGGATAGAGGACAAAGGAATAACTGCTGTTATTCTATTAAGCTTTCCTTTTCAAACAATGTATGAGAACTAATTTTATAGCTTTATTTGGAGTTTTATTTCAGACTCTGTTTATTTCCTCATCTGTTGAAGGATAGTTCATAATGAGACAATTATGGGGGTGGGGGCCAGAAAGCAAGTGTCCATCTATTGGGATACCTGACCCTTCTTGCTTCAATATCAGAGCTGGCACTTTGGAAAGGAATGGAATGATAGCTTTGTTTCCCAAGCCAAGTGGTTTGGAGTCAGTCTTACCCATTGGAGACATGGGCTGCAGCACAGGGAGGATATGTTTGGAAGGAGGGAGAATTGGAGCTGCTGGTATGTTTGCCTGGTATAGAAGCTGATGGGATTGGTAACCTTGAGTTGGGAGAGCATTCATTGATGATTTAGAGCACTACCCATTTTCCTCAGCTAAATTCATTCAATCAATCTGTAATAAAAATGGCAATAATGACTATAACCCTTTAATATTTTTCAGATGTGCTTTTAACAAACATACCAAAAGCTGTCTTTTTTGAGCATTTGTAATGAATTCAATTCCTTGGCATTGGGTGGATGATGAGGCAGCTACATTGCATAGTGGTGAATGGAGTGTTAGACTTGGGCGAGTCTCTGCCCAGGTTTGCTCATCTATAAAATCATGATTCTAATGGTACCTACCCTTGTAAAATGAAATATCATCTGCTGTGCTCTAAAAATGCTAGCTGTTTACTAACTGAAAAGATCTGACCCAATCTTACCCTGCCCTTGAAGACCCACAAGTCTAGTTGGAAAAAGACTCAGAAGGTTTCACAAGAAACAATTCGAAAACAGTACAATATGTGATAAGGGAGAAAGTAGATATATACTTAGAAAATACTAAGGTTGGTGGATGGTGGTGGTGGTGTTGGTTGTCTTATGTGTTGGAAGAAGAGCAAAATGACATCATTATGATAGAGGTTTAAAAAATGAAAAGCACCTCCTGAGCTAGAATCCCAGTGCCCCCATTTAAGCCACCCCTTAAAGACTGGTAGCACTAAGGTCTACTTGTACCTTTCTAACTCAGTATCACTTCATGTGACAGTCACTCTTCTGTGGGCCAGCCAAGCCAGAATTTCTCAGCCATGGGAGTGGTTCCAAAATGTAAAAATCTCTCAACTGGGTTCTAGATTTACTTCCACCATCAATTCAAAATATCATCTTCTGCAAGAGACCTCTGTACTATAGATTCCCAATCTTTAGAAAAATAGAAGAGAGATGAGGTAATCCCTGCATCAGGGTGTAGATAGGGATGAAAGCACTTTGTGTACTGGAAAAATGACCATAGGAAAGATAATCCTACGATGGTTTTCTTGGGGATGCATTAGGTTCTGAAAGCATACTAGACTAACCTAAAAAAAAATTTATAATTTCTTTTCTCCCCCTAGTGCAAGAGAAACCAGAGCAGATTCCTCTGGAGAGCCGCTCTTGTGTCCTGATCCGAAGAGACCTGGTAGCCCTTCCCGCAAGCCTCATTAGCCAAATTGGCTACCGCTGCCACTCTAAGCTCTACTCAGAGGGTGACCCTGGCGAGAAGCTGGAGCTTGTTGCAGGTAATGCCACAGCGGGTGTCTGCCTCCTCTACCCCACCCTGGTGCCCATAGACTCCTTCCTCTTACAGATTCATGCAAACCCCCCACCCCCCCCCCATACCTTCAAAATGCTAAGCAGAGGAGGAAAACCGAATCCTCCCTATAATTTTAGAGATTGCGTGCAAATGTCCCTTTATTTTCTTTTCTCTTCAGAGCAGTGAACAATGTACTCATCACCAATCAGTCAAAAAAAAAAAAAAAGAAAGGATAGAACATCTTAAATTTCCCTTAATTTCCTTTTAGAAGAATGTGTCATTAAGAGAAGTTATTCAATTGAATTAATTTAGCATTTTAATTGAATTCCCCCGGCTTGTATTCTTCCTGATTGGTATGAGCTGCATCACAATTGTATTTTAATTTAGGTTGCAGACAAAAACATGTTGTGTATTTTTATGATTCTTTCCCCCCTACCCCCACCCCAACTTCTAAGTGTCAAATTACTGCATTCTCTGGGTAATGGTTTTAGGTTTTGTAATAGCAAAGGCAGATTGAGAAATTTGATTTCTTTTAAGAAAACTAGCAATAATTTGATCTAAAAGTATATTAACACTTTGCCCAGGATGATGTTTTCTGTGTTTGAAACTGTTTTTTCTTTTTAAGTCTGATGGAGATGGAGTATCTTTAAGCTTTTTCAATGAAAGATCATCTCTCTAACCCTTTCACATCTGAAAACTTGTCTGTGTTAAACTATTTTTAAAATATCTGTTCCCTGCATCTGTCAAATGTGTCAACCAATGATCCCCCCCCCAAAAAAAAATCCCTCATCCTCAAAGTGGCAGAGGAAGGTTTGTTATTTCATCTCGTTTGAAAATATCCTCCTCTGATCCACAGTAGTAATTCCTTGGTAGCTTAAGAGTGTTAGAAAACAACCTGGAGGGCTCAAGAAGCAGGTGACTTGCCCAGGTACACACATCTAGCAGGGTCTGCAGGATACTGGAAGGTTTTTCATTTCTGGAAAATTCTCCAGTTTAGCTTTGGGCCAGTTCCCATCATCTCAGCCCAGCCCCTGTCTTAAATGTTGCCTAGAGATTAGAAACACTGATTTCTCTGTTGGAATATTCATACTGGACTAGTGTACAATTTATAAAGTTTCTTTTCCTATGAACGGAAAATGTGGAATAAGTGATTTTTCACAGCAACAACCTTTAATCAGCCAGTAACATTTTGTCTTTTTTTTTTTTTTGCTTCTCATCCTTTAGTGAGGAGATTACTATCTATTCAATTAATAGCTTCTTTGGCTTGTTGGACTGTATGTGTATTTATTGTATTTGTGTGTTTAAGCAAAAATTACTCTCTGCTATATCTGATTGGGTCAGCTGGTGTGAGCTGGGAAGATCTTGGTTACCAAAGAAACCATAGCAAACTAATTACTTTCTCAAATTTAATGAAAGTGACAAGGATGTCTGCCTGGTTGGGGTGGGGGGAGGGGTGAAGTACACATAAGGGGGTGGTTTTTTTTTTAGTAGCACTATGCCAGAGATGTTCTAGCCACCTAGGATTTTTCACACCATAATCAATAATGAAAACTTAGTCATTTTCTTTAGGGGGCCCTACAGTTAAAACAGATAATAGGAGGGATTCTCCAGGTACCAGTATGGATTAGCAGGGGTAGCCCTATAGAAGAGAGATGGCATGGCTGGTGACTAGGAAGACAGGGCTCTGTACAACAGCTCTGCTGCCCACAATTTTGAACCCATCTCACCCTGTAGGTTCCCACCTCCCCTCCAACCACCAGAATTCTTTCATAAGGAGAAAAAAATTCAAGTGCTCATGTTTAGTGGGGTTTCTATTTTTGAGGCTCTGATTCACTGTGATTCCAGAGATGACCAGATTATTTGAGTGAAATTAGAAGACAGATTGAAGGAGATTTTTAGATACCTTGATGATTGGAATTCCAGATGGCTGAAAAGTTGGCAAGTAGAATGTCAGCCCTGATAAACCTGCCCTTAACTGTGTCACAGCCAACATCTTTGAAGGAGAAATGTCCTTCAGTAATTAACTTAGCCAATAATATGTCCTTATAAGTGATGGTTGTCATCCTAACTTTTGAGGAAGCATATGGAAAGGAACATATCACAGTAGTGTCCCACTAGCGTTAGAAAGCAGAGATTATAAGCAAGCATAATTTAGTTTCTTGTTGGGGATGTCCTATATTGATGTGACCACTTAGTTAAGAGTGCCTGGTTAGATTGCTGCATTGATGTTAAGATGGAACATTTGGCAGAATTGTAGTTCAGGAGAGAGGTCAAGGTTGGAGATGTCAATTTGAGCATGTGCAGAGAGAGATGCACACATGGAAATGGTTGATATAAAGAGAGGAACAGACTACCAGATCAAGACTTTGGTGGGCATGGCCATCAGGATCAGGTTGGAGAGGAAAGAAAAACTGACAATGGAGACCAAGAAACAAAGGAGGAGTGATCAGAGAAGGAGAATGAAATAAGTATATAATCACAGATGGGAGTTTCAAGAAGGAGGATTTGTTCATGGTCCCACAGTGGCAGAGCCCTGAATAAATTTGTAGAACTTATTTTTGCCCTGGGGAGTTGGAGTGAGAGGAGCTGAGAGGGTTGGGTTAGTGTCATGGAGAATGATCAGTAGTGCCATCCCCATCAAATCTGGTGCCAGAGGAACCATGGGTCATGGGACGTCCTGAAGAGACATCTGATTGGTCTTTCTGATGTCTGTCCATGTCCATCCACTATCCAATAATCGGTATTTGTGGTGAAGATCCATGTGTTGAATTCCAGATTTTCTTTGTCTTGCTTCCAAGTTGACATGGTTTCATCTTTGTGTAAGACCAAAAGAGGGAGAATCCTCCTCTATTCGTATCACTACCAAAGTTTGCATCATTTGATGGGGAAGGTTAAGAACTGAGGAAACATCAAGTAGGTATTACTTCAAAAGGTAAAATTGTTTTTAAGTTTTTTTAAAATTAACAAATCTTATTTTGTTTTCCTTCCTACCTACCTCCTTCCTTTTGCAACAAATATGAGTTGTCAAGCAAAAACATATTCCCATATTGACTATGTCCAAAATCTGTCCCTGTCTTAACCTAGTGCCCATGAGCACTGGGTAGGTAGCATGTTTCATTATGAGTCTTGGGATTATGATTAGTCATTCTGCTAATCAGAGTTCTTAATCCTTTCAAAGATGTTTTTCTTTACATTTATTGCTATTATTGTACATCTTCTTCTTCTACTTACTATGCTCTACATCGGTTCATAAAATTCTTCCCTGGTTTCTTTGAAATTCTCTGTCTCTCTCTCTCTCTCTCTGCAATTGTCTCCACTAGTCATTCGCATACCACAATTTGTCCAGTTATACTCTCCCATTGAAAGACACTCCCAGTTCTTTGCCACCACAAAAAAAAATGCTATAAATCAATACTCTTAATGGGATGAAAAAGATCTTGCTACATCTCACTTCAAAATTCTTATTTCAGTTGACTGTGTGTTAGAGCATCATGGTGTTTCATTGAGTGGAGATTGGTAGGTCCTGACCTTGAAGGGCTAAGTCTGAGGGTTTTACCTTATGTTCTAATTGGCTACAGGCTCTGGAGTCTACATCACACGGGGTCAGCTGATGAACTGTCACCTCTGTGCCGGTGTGAAACACAAAGTCTTACTGAGACGGCTTCTTGCTACTTTCTTTGATCGGTATGAGAAGATGGGTAAGGCCCAGGTTGGGCCTTTTAAAGTTTTATGGTTTTTTTTCCTCCCCACCTGTTTTCTATAACACTGTTTAGTGTTTTTGAACAGTTCCTTCCTTCTGCATTTTCAGTTAGTGAAGATTTTCTTTTCATTTTCTTTTTTCCTTTCCTTTGTAAAGATGTCAGCTATTGCTTTCTAAAAGTTTATAATCTCAGAATGTTAGGGTTAGCCACTGGGTAGGCATTTTGTAGGCGGTGAAATTGAGATCCACAGAAAGATGATTTTGCTTATAGCAGCGGTGTCGAACTCATACAATCCGATCCTTGCTGGAGACAGTGACTTAAAAACCACAAATTAACATTTTGTTTTAAAATTGCATTTTGTTAAGCATTTTCCACTTACATTTTAATCTGATTCTGGATGGCTGAGGTGATACCCCTGCCCTAGGACACACAGATCACTGAGTAGCAAAGCTGCAGCTAGAATCCAGCTGTACTGATTCCCTGCCCAAGATTATGTGCCACTAAAGCTTAATCCCAGGCTAGCTTCTTCGGTCACTTAGTGATTGAGCTGTATCCATATTGCCAGCATTATTCAGAGTGAACTCAGAGAACTGCCAACTAACTTTCATATTAGCCAACGTAAGATTCTGATTAGGAAGGTAAATGTGCAGAGAAGCAATCCCTATAGGAAGCATTCCAGCAGTAAATATTTGCTTGACTTTGGCAGTGATCCTTTCCACCCTTCTGTGTACTCCCCTTTGTGTTATCGAGGATAACAAATAATGAGTTGATTATAATGCAGTTAGTTGACTTGGATTTATATCCAGAGTCTTAAAAGTATTTGCTACCTTCATCTTTTTTTCCCCCCTCCTTTCTCCTGCAGGAATACACTAGCCAATAGTTGTGGGACTGGAATCCGCTCTTCTACTAGTGATCCCAGCCGGAAACCTTTGGACAGCAGAGTTCTTAATGCCGTGAAATGTAAGGTCTAAGATTTAAAGGAGCAAGGGTGGTGGTTAAGAGTCCCCAGACAAGGTGGGAGGAGGGGAGGATCAAAACAATATTCCCTACCTCCGGGTAATGGACTGTGCCATCAATGTATATAACTCCTGTTTGATCTGGGTTCCTGAAGACTTCTGTTTTGTGACTCCTTTCCCTCAGAGCCTCCACAGGAGGCTCCCACTTAGAAACAAGCAACTTGTAGGACCCTCTTCCAACATCTGTCTTCCCTTCTGGTGTGGGGATGGGAATGGTAGCTGGTTATAGTGACCTCTGAAGGGTTCCTAAGGAAGGCTTTTGGGCTCAAAGTAGTGGTGTACGCATTTCTCAGCCTGGCCTCCTAGTGACTGATAATGTCAGCTGCTGATCCACTTCCCTGGAATGAGGCTTTTCCGGGGAATGTGTGAAGCATTCATTTTCAGCAAGTGGGTGGAACAGGATAAAGGAGCAGTCTCCAGAATGAGGTCTCAAGGTGTTAACTTTTTTGGTGGGTTTCCAAGCTTGATGATTTCAGCTGCAAAACTATTTTAATATGTGAAATAGATTTAATTTCCTTTTTGAACAAACCCCCCTATTTACATTTTGTGGTTATTTTAAGTCCTTGCCATCTGTTTGGCCATCTTCTCTCTCATTCCTGGACTGGGGTAGTCTAAAGGCAGTGAGCTCGGCCTTGCTGGGTGGTAGACTGCCTCCTTTGCCCAGCCTCCTCCCCGCCTACTTGAAGATGAGAAAGCTGCAGTGGATCAGCCAGTTAACTCCACCCCCCCCACCTTTTTTTTTCCATGTACTTCTGTTTTCAGTCAGAACAGCTAATATATACTCCTTAATTTTTTAAAATGCCCTGAAATGTAAATTTTTTTGGTCTTGATTGGCACTTGATAGTAATTAATCTAAAACTCATAATACTCGAGAAATTTTGGAGTAATAATTTGGGGACTATGTACAGAGGCATGGATCTTAACAATAGAAATTTATATTAGGCTAAGAATGATTTTAGTTAGAATTAGTGACTTATTGACAGATAATTAACTTGTTAGGGGTGGAGACAGAATGCTTCCTCTTTGTAACTTGTAGTTTATTTTTCAGTCATAGGAGTGGGGAGGGATCTTACTGTATTTCCTCTTTATTATTAGCATTTTATAATTTTTGAATTACTTTCATATCTATCATCTCATTTGGCCCTCATAACAAACCTATGAGAGAGCTTGATATGATCCCCCTTAGTTGGATGAGGAAACTGAGACCAAGCTCTTGTGCCCGGAGGGAAATGTGTAGATAAATAAGACAGCATTCTCTGCCCTCAAAGGGTTTAGCAGGGATTTTAGTCAAGGTTGTATTGTAAGTCTGTGGTCAGGTCTGGGAATGTAGAGTCTTGATTGGAATTCCATTGGCCTCTTCACATTGAGACCACATGCTGGTGTCCAAACAAAATTTCAGAGAACTTTTCTCTTTTTCTTTCTTTCTCTGCCCTTGTTTTGACTATCTCCTTCCATTGTCAATTAATTATAGCCAGAAACTCTCCCCAAAAGGTAAGTATTAACATTTTCCAGTAAAATGTCCAGTGAAGTTTTCACTTGGGAAGGCGTTCAGTGTGGATCAGGAATGCACCGTTGCGGAGGGGTGTGGGGGGGTGTCTCATCATGCTAATTTTCAGTAGTGTTTACTACACTGAAATTGACAGAGCTAATTAATTATAGTCAGGCCTTTAAAAAAAACATCAATTACATAAATGGATATCATTGGCTAGTAAGTTTTTAGACTTGGTGGAAACTTATAGGCCATTTAGTCTAACCCTCTCATCTGACAGATAAGAAAAGATTATGTGTCTTGGACAGTCACTTAACTACTTAGGTCTGAGGGAGGATTTAAACTTCCTGGCTCCTCATGTGGTGCCATATTTCAGATATGAACAGCAAGGAGTTGCCTGGCCTAGACTCAGCAAAGACCCATCTTCGTGAGTTCAAATCCAGCCTCATACAGTTACTTTCTTTGTGGCTCTGGGCAAGTCACTTCTTTGCTTGTTTCCTTCTCTGTAAAATGAGCTGCAGAAGCAAATGGCAAACTGCTCTATTATCTTTGCCAAGAAAACCCCAAAAGGAGTCATGTAGAGTCAGCCATGACTGAACAAACTGAACAGCAATGTCAGAAAGGAAGGATGCTTAAAGAAGATTGTCATGCCCCTTTGGAACAACCTCCTTAAGAGCTGGGAGGGATGAGGTGGCCCGCAAACCAAACTGATGACCCTTAATAATGGAGAAATGAATTTTTACCTATGTAGTCTACTTCTTAAAGGGACTGATTCAACCCTACTGGGGAGATACACTGTGATTCCCTTGGCATCCTCTGCTATATCCCCATCCATAACTAAGAACAAAATGGATTTCGTGTATGAATGCCCTCTAAGTGGTAATGATGGAACTTTTGGTTGCCCTAAAGTAGGTATGCCTCATGAGGGCATATGAGGGGGTTGGGTACATGTGGCTTTCTCCCCTTGAGTCTCCACCTAACTCTTTTGACCTCTGTTGGCTATCTTTCTCTCTGTCTTTGCAGTATATTGTCAGAATTTTGCCCCAAGCTTTAAGGAGAGTGAGATGAATGTCATAGCTGCAGACATGTGCACCAATGCTCGTCGAGTTCGCAAACGGTGGCTACCCAAGATCAAGTCCATGCTGCCTGAGGGGATGGAGATGTACCGAACCGTCATGGGCTCCACCGCTGCCGGCGTCCCCCTGGAGCCTGAGTTCCAGGCCACCACAGCCCAGGTATTTGAGCAGAGAATCTACGCAGAGCGGCGGAATGATGCCGCCACCATTGTGGCTCTGAGAACTAACACGGTCAATGTAGACCTGAGCAGTGCTTCCAACCCACCATTCGAGCCAAGTGAAGAGGCAGATGGGGCCGGTTCAGTCATTCAGGAGGTGGCTGGGCCAGAGCCCCTATCCTCGGATAGCCAAAGCACTCCCCAATCTTTCGAACAAGGTCCTGCCAGCACCAGCAGGCCGGAGACACCGGTGAGAAGACAAGATGGTACTTATGGAGGGACTTTGTAAAGATACCTAAAGAGAAGAAAAAAAATTGTGACTTATAAGGGATCTAAATACTAAAGCTGCTTGCATGCATACTAATACAAAAAAAATGTGATCAAGCCACTTACCTACTGAACTGCTACTGTTGCCTGAAAAAAATGTGATTTTTATTCTGCTTGTATTTAAAATTTATGAAGGAAATAATCGCATTCGTTATACTGTAAATGATTAGGTCAGTGACGGCCTATTTAAGAGAGTTCCTGGGCAATTTTTTTTTTTAATACTCCTGAGGTTAGACTCTAAACTTGTAGCTTTTTTTCTCCCCTTCCTTACAAGGGGATGGGGTGAAGGAGGACTGAGACATCCCCTCCCATTGTTTCTGCACCCAGGTCCTTTCCACCCCTTTTCTTCCCAGCGCAGAACTAAAGCCATTGTTAATTCCTCCTTACTCTACAGAAGGTTGTGCCATCACTCAGGAGGAGAAAGTTTTTGGATGGTCAGAGAATGTCTGGCAGCTCAAGGACCCACAGGACTTGGCAGGTGATTTGACTGGAGACTCTTCACTTAACACTCCATTCCTAACTTGTAGTGGTCCTCACCTTGAGGGTCTTTACGTGTATCAGGGGTATGGAGGTTGGGGATGGGCAGGCTGAGCTGAGGCAGAGAGCTTTCCCCAGGAAGTCTCCCCGAACTTTTTTCCCCTGTGTTCTCCCCCCACCCCAACTGAGACTCTTTTCAGTGTCAGGATTAGCCATGGTTCCATATTTGTGTTTCTCATGTATGTGCTTTGGGGGTCACAGCAGCAGGGTATGGGGGAGGTAGGGGTATTATTGGTATGGGAGTGTTAGGAGATGTTGGTTGGCACTGATTGGTGTATGTGAATATGTGAAGACATCCCATTGTCCTTACTCCTCCCCTCTCCTCCCTTCCCAATCAGATCCCTATTTCTCTTCCTACTAAATGAGGTACCACTCAATATAGCCCTCAGTGAATAGTCCTCTGAGTTCGCTTTAACTCCTTCCCCCACCCCAAACTGTGCATTCTTTTATCTCTTCCACATCGCTCATGTGAAACCCCGTTTTCATGAATCTGAGGGGCCGCTTGCCCGGTAGTGGTCACCCTGGAGGAGTTGGGGGGAGCCATGATGAGTCAGCTGGGTGGTAGAGGTATGGTTACAGGCTTGGCCCTTCTTAGGGTTCACTTGGAGCTCCCATGATCTCTTCAAGAGTGAGTTTAATGTGAGGGGATGAACTCCAGAGGACCTCCCTCTCCCTCCTGTAGTAAGTAAGAGCAGGGGTGAAAGGGATTGTCCATCTCTTGGCCTTCCTTTTTATGTGGAATTGTTTTGTGACTATCCTGGAACCCTTTGAATTTTGTATGACCTTATGTTCTTTGATTGAAAGGAAAACTTCATTTCCCAATTTCTTTGTCTTCCTTCCCCTATACCCCAAATAGACCAAATTTTTGGGAATGAGGCATAGATGTGTCTGCTTTTTTTTTCATGAAATATGGCCATGGCCCCATTTAGGAGACGTGACAACTCGGCTTTGACAGGCAGAGAGCTTTTTCCAAACTATCAATTGTTGGTGAAAGCCGGACCACATGGCATTCCATGACCTCTGCTGCAGGAGGAAGAGGCCAGACCTGGAGGCAGGGGCCAGGGTTGGGGAAAGTCAGGGTCAGGTTTAGGTGAAGGAAAATGTGTCTCTGCCATTTTCCTTGTCCAATGATGAATCCTTGTCTCCATTTCCATTTGGAGAGGGTTTTCCATTGCTGGCACTCTCAGTAGAGAGCAGATGGCTTGCCCCTCCTGGGAATGTTTAGCCAAGGAGCAGGGTTATCCTTTGCCTGTGTAGACCCCCTAGGTTAAAGGGGGTTCTGGAATGTGTGTAGGTGCTTGTGCAAGTAGTGACAGTGAATTGGGGCTTGTGCTCAGTGGAGAGATCCATGAGTCTTAGTGGGTAGGGGAGAACAAAATCCCCACTCCCCACCCCATGATTTCTTCTTGGCACCATTTCTTTTTTCTTACCCCCTTCCCACCACCACCATGGACAGTGGATCCTGAAAAGATTGGTTTTTGACTGAATTCAGTGCTCAATATGTGCCAGTAGTTCCTCTCCATCGTAATCTCTGCTTTCAGGCCACATGGCTGTCTAGGTGTAGGTTTATGTCCAGCTGTGTGGGATTCAGAAATGGGGAAAGGGTCATGAGCAGAAGCTGGATTGGTCATACTGTCTACCTGTGTTGTAGACAATGTGGAGTCCATGGTGTTTGTAGAGAAGAAATACCAGGCAGTTTCACTGGTATGAAACTGGTGCTTAGTACTGTAGCATTGGGGGGATGCTTTTAGAGTTTAAGATGAGAGTGGGGGGTGGTCAGAATGTTGTGAAAGGGCAATGCAAGAAGTGGTTATTTTTGTTTTTGTTTTAAATTTTCTGAGATTGAAATATGCTCACTTTGCAATTTAATTTTTTTTAAAAGCAAAGGAAAAAAAAAACCAGTGCAACATCTACACAAATGGTCACTGGTCAGAGTGACTTCTTCCTTTGTGGATCACAGTGCTTTGGGTTTTTTGAGGGGGGCATTCCCCTACTCCCCACCCCAGTGAAAGGGGGCTCCAGAAGGCAGCTCTCCCATCTTGGGTCATTGTTTATTTAGCCAGATACTTGAAACTATTTGTATATTTCATATAAATGCTTCCTTGCTTCCTTCCTGCCTGCCCTAAAACTCCCTTCCCTACTTGATACCCCTCTGTATTTAAACAAAAACAACACACACACACACACACACACACACACACACACACACACACACACACACACACACACACGTTTGTAGTTCAGCTCCCATCCTAGGCAGTTATACATTTCCATTCCCAGAGTCTCTGCAGTGGATTCTGTCAGGGGTTTTGTGGGGAAGAGGGAGTTTTGACAAATGACACCTTGGTCATCCAGGGGTCTTTGTTAAACCCCACCCCCTCAGGTCTAATGCATCAGTTTCCCTGATATTCCCATTGAAGCTGAAGTCTCCTTTGCAGATTCCACTACCCCACCAAAAATGAACGAAGATTCGTACCCCTAGAAGAGAGGGCCTTTTCAGCACAAGAAGTTACTTTATCCTAGCATTGCCATAAAAACATATGATGACTTTTAAACAGGATTCACATTTTCCTTTGAAGCCCTTGAACATTATTTCCACTCCCCACTTTGCATGGTGGAGGTCATGAAACCAGCTTAAATCACTCTCAACAGAGCTGGCATCCTCACTTTTGCCTATGTTCTGTCTGAAGTCTCCTATGCCCCACCCTCCCTTGAATGTCCACTGGTCTGGACCTTTATTCTTGCCCATCATCAATGGAGCCGTAGGGGATAGGAAGTCATACAGGGGTCCATAAGGGGTGCCAAGACATCGCCCTTCAGTTCCAGTGCCTGTACTCATAATAGACTTCAGCTCACCATCTTCACATCATTAGCCCTGCCTGCCATATTAGGAACTCAGGCTATCATTCTCCTTCCGTGTCCCAGCCTTTGAGTGAGTGTATACATTTTTGGAAAGAGTCTTAGAGGACTCCCCCAGACATGGACAAAGTATGGCTCAGCCATAATTTAGTCTTGCATAAGCTGAGGAGGCAGAATCCCTATTGTTGTACATGTGTGGGGAATACATGGTTATTGTGGCCAGATTTTTTGAGGCTATTGAAGGGAATCTGAAACTTTGAGGGTGGAGAGAGTCAAAGTCTTAGGAGATGTGAAGTGTTCAATGTTGGATTGATGTCTCAGAGAAAGAATGGTAAAATTAAAATTTCAGTCCTTTCTTCTCGGTTGGGCTGGCATGTATTTTGAGGTCAGAGGAAATGAGTTAGTCTAGCTTCTCTGCCTCTAGGGTGGGAGTCCAAGGAGCATCTCCTGTCTGCAGTGTCCCTTGTGTATTAAAACTATCCAGTCTTCCTTTCATTTTTTGAGTAAGTTGAGGATTTTTCACTTCATTCCCTGCCACAATGGCACTTTTAATTTGAGCTTTGCTTGAGAAACATTCAGAACTGAGAGATGTGATATCATTGTTGAATGAAAAAGGCTCTATCCATCAAGAAATTGCCACAACAAAAATCCAATATGGCAGTCACAGTCAAGAGACCCAAGTATGGATAAGCTGTGTAGTTATGAATAGTGGCTGAATTGAGCAGAATAGGTGAAAGACATAGTGGTTATATCAGGCAAGATTGTAGGTTGCACAGATAAAATTTGTCTATTTTTTTATATCTAGCACAACTTCCTAGTTTTTCTTTTGTTTTTTCATTTTTCTTTTCCTTTTTTTCCTTTTCTTTTTTTGGTTCTGGGTTAAGACAGAATTTGTTAAAACTTTAAAAATGTGAATGGGTTTTGAGCTCTCCCTTTTTCTCTGGGTGAGGGTGAGTGTTTTGCACTAATGTTTCCTGTGTGTAGAGGATTAATGAATGATATGTTTGAAAATGTATATGGGATGATGATTGTATCCTTTGAGGAAAACCAATCCCTGAAGATACTGAATGTAAAGTGAAACCGAAGCAGTCCTTGGCTTTCATGGGGCTTTCCAGAGTGCCTTAGAATTTTTTGGATCATTTTCCCCAAGGAAACATATTTTCAAAATCAGACCATGTATCCCTCTCCTTTGTTTACAACACTATCAATTCCAGAATGGGGGCTGCTTTGTCATGTGAATATGAAACTGCATTTATCTAGATCTGCTAGAACAAAAGAGGAAAAAAAACCCTCAGTATTTATGATATGTCTGCACCTTTATTCTTACATTTGACTATTAGCAATATGCGTATAATATATCTCTATATTCTATTATATATCTAAATTATATCAAGCACCTTTTTGAGGAATAAGATTAAAACAAAAAAAGACTGAACAGAGTTTGAGCTAACGTTACATGCAGTTGCCAATAGTAGGCCAGACATCTGCTCTTGTCCTAGTAGATGTGATCAAGGACTCAAAACTCAGTCCCAAAGTCACTAGGGCATTGATACCAGGGTGTCAGGACATTGCTCACTTAGGCCCACCATGTGCTGGACCCCTGTACAGTTCTTGGTTGAACACAAGGTTGTAAAAGAACACAGAGGGAACAGATGGTCCAATGGTGAGCAAACACTAAATCACAATTGTCCATTAAATATAGCAGATACTGCTGGCTTTGTGTTGAGGTCCTCTCGGAACTTGAATTCTCTGTATTGTTTTCTGCCCTGTCTCTGGTCTTGCCTGAGAGGTCTGTTTGTGTTTGTTCTTGGGGTGTTGTTTTTTTTTTCCCTTCTCCTGCTTATCTGTGGTGTAGGATCTGTGAAAAAAAGGGGGGGGGTGGCAAATGAAAGCAGAAGTGCTAATCTTTGGAGCCCTACTTGTGAGATTGTGTGTGTGTGTGTGTGTGTGTGTGTGTGTGTGTGTGTGTGTGTGTGTGTGATAGAGGCAGGACAGTGCTCTGGGCCTCCCCAATCTGTTCTCTTTAACTGTGTTTGATGGAAATATTTTCCATCAGCCTATCACCTCTTTTGTGATTCCCTCTATTATATTGTCAAAGGCCTGGGTTGGGATTAAAAAACAAATAACCTGGCTTTTGAGTCATAACTTATTGAGTGTGTGTTTATTTTATTTTTCTTTCCTGGATTCTCTTTCTTAAGTATTCATATTTTAGTGCTGTGATGAAGGTGCTGAGTAAAAATTCTGAGATCAAGAAGGCTGGGGATCAAGGAGAGCAAGAGAAGGACAGTGACACAACTCTGTTCTCCTAGTCCCTCCAAGGGTTTAGAGAACCTCACATGGGCACCTTTGATGTTGCTTCCAGTGACCCACCGAGACCAAGTATTTCTAACCCTCTGGGGTGTTTTAAGCAAGGCAGATGCTCTTAGTCCTGGGCTTGTCAATCCATCCACAGGAGTGTTAAAGGTGAGCTGTGATGGGACTTAAGCTTTTTGACAGCCCATCGTGTTTGGAATTACTTCCCTATTTAACCCATGTTTAAAGGACCATAGCCTTCTCGATAGGTTACTCTATGAGGCCCTGCTGCCTCTCCCCAGTCATTTTATCGTTCCGGGTTCTGTTCAGATGGATTATTTTTATGGAAATCGCTTGCTGCAAGTGGGGAAGGTCCTATGGCCCATTAACCAACTGAAAACGCAGAGACAACCTCTGTTTGCTTCCACTGGCAGTAAATCGTAAACACAGAATTGAGAGTTCATAGCTGTCTTGGGCTTTAACTACTGTTTCAAAATGTCCCTGCTGTATAAATTTGTCATTATGTCAGTGAGCAAGCCCCAAATGTGTGTATTACCATACCAGAGATATTCAGGGCGGGGTACAAGACGTTTCTAAAATTGAAAAGTGTTTTTTTTTCTTTTCTTTTTTTTTAATAAAAAAGGAAAAAAATATGCAGAAATCTAAAGCACTCAAATTGGAAAACCTTCTCATGTTCTGATCAGTTGCTTCCATTGTCAGCGTTTTGCACATAATTGTGGTTTTTATGTCAAAAAAAGGCCAAAACTTGCAATACTATTTTTAGCAGACAAAAAAAAACCTTAAGTATAAATGTATAAATATTTTTGACTTGAAGATTTGGATGGCACTTGACTCAAATAGTACATTAATCCTTTGGACAGAATGTTTGGAAAAAAGAGACTTTAAAAAGTAGATGGTTGTTTTTAAAATTTTAAAAAATGGAGTCTGTTTAGAGTAGTAAAGTAGTTCTGTAATTCATGACTGTTAAAAAAAATAAACAATTGAGTGAAATAAATCGTTCCTACTCTGGACAGGCAGTTTCGCAGTGCCATGGAGTAACATTTCAGCCAGAAAAGATGCTAGTTTGTTCTTTTTTTTTTTTAAAGAACAGAAAAAGATTTTGTTTCTTCACCAGTATTTATGTGTTGTTACTCTGTATAGTTAAGAGTCTTACTTTTTAGCCATGGCTGACACATTATATCAGTAACTAAAATGACATTGAACAGCCGACCAAGGAAACCCTGAGAGTTTGAAGTGTGCTCATAGCTGTCTCCATCAGATGCAAAATCCATGAAGGAGGATATGATCATTAATTGTAAAACGCTTTGTAAAATTCACATTTACAAAATAATAAAGTCGATTCCAATTCAAGCTTCCTTCTGGGGCTATAAGCCCCTGTGGTTGGTTTTATTTCGTTCCTAGGGACTTGGTGGAGAGAAAATAGGGACCTTGAAGAGTATCCTTTGTTGGAGAATGGGCTTTCAGCCCCCAGAACTTCTTGCCCCAAGTTTGTTATTGGGCTTTGGAGTTAATTGGGGTGGGGGGGACAGTACAGTGTTGAGGAAGCAAAGTGGAAAATACTACTTCTTGAATATTATTGCAACTTTGGGTTCAGGACAGGAAGGAAGATGCTGCCAACAGCAGAGCCAGATGGAGAAATGGACAAGTCCACTTGTAGTGGACAAATGCGGTGCTGCCATCACCCAGTTAACCAAGCTCTGTGGTATGGGTTGGAGGAGTCAGGACACATACACTTATTAACTGGTGTTTCACTTCAGAATTTGGTAACAGCAATGTCCTTATCTCATTCTGTTCTCTCCATTTTAACCATTCACAATAGTCCTCAGAGCATGTATCATTTGGAAGAATTGAAAAAGTTTGGGGAAAGAATAACAGCCTGGTATTGTCAGCCCAGAAAATTGAGTTTTGCCTGGAAGCTGAAATTCATCCTGCAACTGGGTTGTTTTTGTTTTTTCTTTTTAAATCACAGACCCCTTTGGCAATCTGGTGATGCCTCTATTCCTCTTGTCAAAATAAGATTTTTTTTCTTTCCATAATTGAAATGCTAAATTTTGGTTTTAGAGGATAGCGAAAATAATTTCCCCTCCAAATTTATAGACCCCCCCCAAATCTGTCAATGGACCTCAGCTTAAAATCCTCTAACCCACATTAATAACCCAAGAAGATGCTCTCATTCCCACTGATGGCTTTTAGTTAGATTGTAGAATGGACATCAATGTCCTATGTGGTCTTGGGGAAGTCATTTCTTATCTCTGGGCCTTTTTATACCCTGCCTATCTAATGAAAGTAATCCTGCTCCACCTGTTTGTCCAAAATGTTGGGAAGATCAAATGAGACCTTTTCTCGAACAGGAGAGTGCTTTGGCATGTTCAAAGTGTTGATCTTGTGAAACCAAAGATGCCCAGTCTAGCCAAGTTCTTTTTTTTTTTTTTGCCAAGTTCTTAAATGCTGTCACTACCCCCCACTGCAAAGCAGCCTTCATGACAACCACTGCAAATATCAACAGCCTAAGCGGCCACTGAGCAGCTCTCCTGGTTACTCTGTAGCTCTGGGTTTGGAATTAGGGCCACCTATTGTATCCTGTGCTTCTACTTTTTCAGCTCATTTAATTGTGCATGTTAGTGACCACTATGAACAAACGCATTCAAATAGAGTTGAAAATAATATTCATGGAATGGTAAACTTTAATGTGCATAACATCTCTAGCATGCAAATCTAATCAGCAAATGGTAAAAGATATAATAGGATTTTAAAAATACAGATGCACTATTTGCTTCTATGCCCTACTCAACTTTTCTCATGCATTTGGGGGCCCCCCACCCCCATGTGGCACTTCCCCCTCATGCTGTATGTCATTCTTTTTTTATAATTTGTTGCTTGTGGCAAAATGATATTCAATTTGTTTAGCAATTCCCCAATAATGAGGTACATGGGATATTTTCTAATTTTGCCCTTTTTTTCTACACAATACTGCTATGAATATCTCATTTGATCTTCACATTAACCCTATATGTTAAGGAACAACAGGCACTATTAACCCATTGACAGTGAACTAACCTGAGGCCCCCAAATCACACAGTGAGTTAATAATAAATAGAACTGGTACTAAAAATCCATTCCCCCTTAAGGGAGCAGAGTCTACTTAGGGGTGTTTGTGTGTATATCTGTGCTTTGTGCTGGTGAGTTTCAGGGCCTTGCTTGAAGTTGTTTGGAATAAGCTAGATAGGCCACTTCTGTTTTTTGTTTCCTTGGAGGGGGAAAAATTATATTTCCAGTTAGATTAATACCAGACTTTCCACTGTCCCATTTTGCTTAAAGATAAATAATCTCACTCCCTCCTCTTGTTAGCTCGTGAACACCTTTGAAGGGCAAAATGAGGGTTCAGAACCACTGAAATTAATTTAATTTAATTAATTAAACCACAGAAGCCTTCTGGTCCCTTTTATCCTCAGAGTTCAGAGTAGATAGAAAGCCCCAACTAACCTGGCCTTTCCTGAGTACTTGATGTCTATTCACAAAAAGAAATGCACTGTTCCCTCACCTCC